AGTTTTATTTTCTTTGTCTTACGTGGAGTTTGCGTTGGGGTTTGGAATGAACTACAAGCCGGTCTCTTAGAATCCATCTTCTACTTTTGTCGAAAGTTGACTAAAGTTTTGTCGCTCGAGTTGTCTTCGCTGATGCGGAGAATGGCGGCGAATACACAAACCTGCCAGACATAGCCTGGTGAGCGCGAACGCGCATGACGTCACGGCCAGTCTCAAACTCCGTCCCGAATCCCTCTTATTTATTTTACTGTACAGGATTAATCGCAGTGATCAGAGAAGGGCTCATTCAGCCCATCAGGCAGTTCTTTAAGCATGTATAGGATAGAAAAATGGCTATTTTTAAGGCTCCGTCCACACTACTGCGTTTTCGTTTAAAAACGGAGACCTTTTGCTACGTTTGCACCTCCCGTCCACACTAAAACGGAAAAACCGAAGACCTAAAACGGAGAAGTTTAGAAACGCTGCAGCTCCGTTTTGCGTTTTGAATCTCCGGAGGGCGTTTTAGTGTAGACGGGACAAAACGGAGGACTTTAGAAACGATGACGCAGAGGCTCACGCTCGGCTCTATGATTGGGTCTCATCAGTCATGGCGTATCCTTCCCTGATTCGTCAGCCACCCATCACATGTCAATCCGTCTCCTGTTTACACCGGCACGCGCATGCCCAGTGTTGGTGAATGGTCACGTGATCGGCGTTTTCAGTCGTTTTAATGTGGACGGAGATCAATTCTAATACGCAGCTAAAACGCTGGTGTGGACGGAGATCGTATTCGTTTTAATTCTCCGTTTCTAAACGAAAACGCAGTAGTGTGGACGGGGCCTAACATGAAATGTTGCGCAATGCACCTTTAATGTGCTAGATGGATGTCTTTGGCCATTTTGTATTTTAAAACGTGTCTAGCGACTTCATTCTGCTCAGGTGTCCTGTTGCTCTCACTCTTCGTTCGGTTATTTAAGTCTCCTATAGAAGTGTGTACATGAATGCTAGACAAACTTACGATTAAATTTTGAACATGAGCATATACTTCATCTTTGAAGACATTGCAGTCTATTGCTCTGTTGACATCTGCAGTCCTCAGAGCGGTTTGTCAGTCAGTAGAAAGGTCTCTTTAGTGTCCTGTAAGTAATTGTAACTGTGACCTTAATTGTCTAGCGCCTGTAAACCGTTAGTCTTAAGGACTGATCCACAGGTGCGTGTGCTATAATTGTTGATAGTTGCATGAAAATCCTTATTTGAACCCCTTTTCAAAAAAAAAAAAAAAATTTGTGAAACTTATTTAGATTTTACAAAATTATCTTTAAAATCCAATATCCTAAAAAAGACTTGTTTTCTTTTTGCTGCGTTTGTATTCCATGAATGCACAAGATGTATTAATAGGCCACTAAAGGGGCGTTTAATGTCACAAAATCAGCAAGTCCACGGTGATCTGAATGAGAGGAAGGAAAAAAGGTAAGAAAGAGTGAGCTGAGGGTTGCGAAAGAGCTTTAACAGGGAAAAATGATTCACAGGTATAAGATTTCCCATTAGAGTCTGCTAATTATTTCCACACCATTAGTGGCAGCTCTCTAATGAGGGATGTGAGCAGACTGCAGTATATCACAGCGTTCTGGCTCTCCTCGGCTGTAACCCCCTCCTCATGCCCTCTTAACCCACACGGGCACAGAGGGGCAAGAGCTGAGGGCATGTTCAAATAATCTTTTCTGATTGAATTCCTGCTGAAATAGATGTCGAGGCGGACTCACTGCTGTAATATGAAATGTTTGGTATAGGGGTTGTTCTGATGTCAGATGTAAGAGGAGGTTCTCCATTCATATGGGAAATCACACACTCCTTTTGTGTCCCACTCTATTTATATTTTAAAAACATACTGTAAAGTGACTTGAACACTTTAACCTCTTCTAATATTAATCTGTTTTGTATAAAATTAAAAATATTAATGTGGTATGACCCAAGTAGTTTAGCATTTTTTTTTAATCTCAAAGTAGCAAAATGTTGTTTTTTTTATTTTATTAAAAATTGTCTGACTAATATACTGTAAATCAGTATCATTTAACCAATATGTTGGAAACTATTTGTCCCTGAGTTAACGACGAACCCCACAGACCAACCTTTTTACCCTAAGCCACACCTGCACAAACCATATTTACCAGAGTAAAAAGATATAGCCCAGTAATAAACAGTATATAAATAATATCAATAACAAATTACTGCTTAGAAAGGTTAACCCTTAAACAGGCAAGAGTGGAAAATCCTAAGCAAAAAAATAATTTCATGTCATTTTTTATATCATCTGGACTTAAATAAAACATATCCAAAATAATTTTTTTTTAAATTTGATATATTTTGGATTTTATGAGTTGTGTCTCCTGAGTCACGTTGCCTGATTAGGGTATAAAAAAAGGACCAAGTCATTCATCTGTAAACTGTTACTGCCACTGCATGTTTAAAACAATTATATCCCATACTTCACCTGATCTAATGTTGACAAATTATATCATTCGAAAGCTTACAAACTCAAAATTCAGCCGTTTTGAAATTGGACGTTGCGCTACCATAGAAACGGTACTCTAAATTCTTTTATCGGGATCCTCCCCTTTTGGGCATCGCCATGTTTCATAATTTATGATCAAAAAGTTTTCTAATCTTGACAAAACACATACTGTCAGAAAGGTCTGAGTCTTAAGGTTCCATATTTTGTGACAGAAGTGATATTTGGACAGAAATTTATTAATTTGTTATGCCAGAATGCATACAACTAAATTCAATGGAATGTCACCCGGTGGCTATTTTTGTATGCCTAAACATAATCTCACGGGAACTTCAATTTATGTGATATCAACTTCAAATTTGGAACACAACTTGGTTAGATATATGGCTTTGATTTTATAGTAAAACATATTTTGTAAAATACATATTTTATAAAAAAAGAAAACATATTAAGTACAGTATATTTGATTCACTGTAAGTTTAACTTTTCCATACTTTCATTTATTGAAGTGCTTTCACTTCAGCAATAATCTGCTGACTGTTTTCTTTAAAACATTCTTGCATTACAATGAGTAGTGTTTGAATAGTGCATTTTAAATAGAGCTAGTTTAATCCCTTTTGTATACCCAAAAACAGGCAACGTGACTCAGGAGACACATGCATTTCAAAACGTGCTAAATAACAACATGAACAACATATTACTTAATTTTCTCCTTCAGCACCTTAAGACAATGTTCACAATTAATGTTAGGAGTATTATTCTTTCTTTTTTTTCAGAAGAAAAGTAAGTTTAGTATATATTACTTATCTCAAAATCTGAATGTTCTGCACCACTGGCAGCCATGTTGGATTTAGGTCAGGCTGACTAATTGATCACAAAACATTTGAAGCAAATCATGTGACAAGCATAAGACAGACCAGGCTGTCATAAGTGATAAAAGGATTAAAAAAAAAAAAAAAACGTTCTTATACCCCAAAAAAGACAATAAAAACGATGTGTCTCGTGAGACACGTTGCCTGTTTTAGGGTTAAAAACTATTTCTTTAATTAAAAATAATTAGAAGTAGCCATCTTGTGTTTTTTTTTTAGTCATCACTTTTATTATTACCACAGTTAATAATAGCCTAATGTAAGCAAAACTTCTCTAAACACAATAGATCAAATAATATACAAATAAACAGTGCTTTGTTGTTCAGGTCTATATAATGTAATACTAAAGACAATTAATAAAGTAATCAATGTAAAAAAAAAACTGCATATATATTCTTCACTGTATATACACTGCATATTCTTCACAAATATACAGATGCTTATTAAAGCTGCCAAGTTCTTTAGTCAAGAGCGAGTGATTTTCTCTTTTGTTGCTTGATTTCAAGGGCGCAACTCTGGTCTGAAAGGAGTGGGGGACCAAACCTGCATGCTGTCAATTCCTTACAACATCCATTTTAATATGCAATGGATTATCAAAATAAAAAACTGCACAAAGAACAATTTTTAGGTAATGATGCTGCCTGAAGCAAATGTTTTTTTTGCTTTGAAATAACTGAAATCATTTGGCAAACTGATATGGAAGTGTAATGTGGCCAAGATCTGCCTGGAACTACTTTTACCGTGCGTTTCCCTGAAAACAACCTCAGAACAAGGGTGTCCAAACTGCCTCAACCCTAACCCGTCCTGCAGCTCCGCTCAACTGGCCTGGGAGGTTCCAGAGTGCCTAGCAAGACCTTGGTCGGCAGGTTCAGGTGTGTTTAATTGGGGTCGGAGCCGAACTCTGCAGAACAGTGGCTCTCCAGGAGCAGGATTGGACATTCCCTGTCATAGAACATTCAACCAATCAGATTCAAGCATTCAAATGCCCCGTAGAAGTATATAACGTGGTTTAAATCATAGGTTTCACAGAGAGTTTACAATTTCATGTTGCCTCCATAGACATTGCCTTACCTCGTCCATTTGGTATTAATATTATTTGTGCAGCTATTAAAAAAACCTATATTAAAGTTTTAAAAAACCTTGTAGATACCCTGTTGACTTTCGTTTAAAAAGCATTCAAACTCTACACATGTACACTTATATCTATTGAAGACGTGAGGACAGATTACACCATTTTAACCTCAAATCAACTTAAATTGTCTGAGAGATCTGAAAACACAAAACCAAACATGAACAAATTTTACCCTCCATCTTGCACAACACCCATAAAGACGACAGATCTTAAAGCACAACTTTTATTCCAGTACTACAGCAGAACATTGCGCAGTCATAAAAGCGTCTAAAGATTAAAAAGATGCTAAAAACAGTATTGCAGCAAACAGTTTCCAAAGTAACCAATACAGTACAGAGATAAAAACACTCCCTTTGAAAAAAATTACACATTTAAAACAATGCAAATGTATTAAGATTTCATGTAGACAACTCCCAACGGCCTACTCAAAGAACCTGCAGCAGAACCAGGTTTCAGGAAGCTGCGAATCACATCAACGATCAACAAGACACTTGGGGACGACGTCAGTTTGGCAGAACATGGCGACCGTTTTATTCTCCTTCCTCCAATTCCTTCTTTAAACTGTGGAGAGAGGTCAGAGACATTGGTTACACCTTTCTAGATTTCCCAAAAGCCACCGAGTGAGTGACAACAGTGAGAGGTCGACATACACACCAACTATAACTCTTAAGCACCGTTCACCCCGCCAGCAACACGCAGCGACATGATCCCATTCATTTCAATGGAGCGCTGGCGACACGAGCGACAGTGACCGTTGGCGACAGAATGTGGGCGTGTCAAGCGACAAAAGTTGAGAAATTTCAACTTTATGCAAATGAGAAGTGATTTTCGCGAGTGATAACCAATAGGAAAGAAGACATTCAGTGGAGCTCACGTCACAGTCTCGAGTGCAGGCAAGACAGAAGAGTTTGAGGGAGATTTCACTGTTTTATATGATTTGACTGTGACCACATACATTGATATAATAAAATGACGAATGGAAAAGAAACTGTCGACAGTCTCAGTGAGTTTAATTCATATACATTTATAGTTCAAGTGTTGTAATTTTATGATGCAAGTTTAGCAATGCTGCAGATCATTTTAACTTAGTTTCCCTGCATTGTGTTGACTATTAGGGACAAGAAAATTGATTATTTGTCAAATTCGAATGACGTTTTAGTAATTTATGACAGAATGAGTGAGTTTAATTTGTTGACTGGTCGATCGTTAATCTAGTAAATGATTTAATCCGCTGAACACTGCTGTGGTAATATAAAAACACTCTCCCAACAGCATACTGTTTCTTTTGAGCCTAATTCCTAGTCAAATCAAAATGATATAGTTGTATGCCACTTCTGATGGTGTTTTGTATAGATATATGGCCAGACGTGCAGTCTACCAATAACATTAGAGCGACAGCACTACGAACGCCCACAAGCATTGTTTACATTGTTAAAGATAGTGGTGCACCAAAGAAATATTTGGATGAAATACAGTCTAAACCATTTTTGAGAGCCGAAATCATTGACTGAAACGGTGATGTATAACAGGCACTTTTCTGATGGGGATTTTTGATGTGTCAGTAGCCACGTTTCCATTACATATTTGCGCAAAACTTTTGCCATTTTTTCTAAATGTCGACCAAAAATGATTGCGATATCACGGCGTTTCCATTAACCGATGTTATGCGACTAAAACCTAATTTTTTCCTCTCGCGATAAGTCTACCCAAAAATCATGGAGACGGGTGTTGGTGGGTTTATGTACACCCCAGCCACCGCACTGGCCATTATTATTATTAATCGCAGGAGACGTATGTGTGTTTTCCAAGCATTAATGGCAAGGAAAGACCCTTACACGTGGAGCGGCTGGTGTTTGACCCTCATTTCTTCTTCAAGGTCTTGATTGTGGCATTTCTTTGAGGTTTAGAATCCAGTATTCCTCTAATTCTTTTGTCTTTTATGAATTTAATAAAGAACTCGGGTCTCGTATTCTGTCCAAACACACCGCGTCATCTACGTCAGGTGACCTATAAATGCGCAAAAACTGTTTTCATTGCAGTTTTGCGATACATTTCCTTTTTCGAACTGCCTGAAAAACCACCTCTTGCAGCGTAAAAACTTTTTTGTGATTAATGGGAGTTTATGCGAAATTGACGTGTTTCCATTGGGCGTATCTTCAATTCGCAATTTGCGCAATTTGAAGGGTAATGGAAACGCACAACGTGGATGAGCTACAACAGGTAAATATCAGCTGTGTAGATGCTAGCGCTGGGTTCAGTTCTTGTTAAATCAATCTTCGTTTTGATGAAGAGATCTATTAGTCAATGCTGTTTTGTGTTGATGCGTTAACAAAACTTCACTAAACATTATTTGTAGCACGTCTCCCATTCAATAAAATCAATGAGCTTTGTTGCTTTTGATATAAAAATTCTGGAGCTTTCAAATGCAAAATTTTAATCTTGAAATTCAAACAAATCTGGTCCTGTCACTTTAATGTGTCGTGACAGAGCAGCGCGACAGAACAGAATCATCTCTTCCTCTTTACTACTAGTTACAGCCCAAAAACATGAACATCAGAAGGAATGTTGGAAGATACAGTACAGCTTACAGTCTCATGTCTAATTTAAATCGCTCAGGGTTTTAACCGCAGGAAGACGTCATAAAACAGCTTGTAAACAGGCTCATGTAATTTTACATTTACCTCAGAAAAGCCAATTTAACTTATGCATTTTATAAAGTGTTGGCTATTAAATAAACCATTGGTTTTGGGCTACATTAAAACGGTCACTATGGTTATGGTAAAAAAAAAAATTCAGTGCATCAGTTGCAGTGTTTTATGGAAGCTTGTTTCCACCACAGAATAAAACATTTTAATAGATAATTCTGACTTTATTTCTCAGAATTGGGAGTTTATATCTCAAACTCACAATTGCGAGTTATAAAAGTCGAATTCTAAAGGCCCGTACACACCGGGACGAATATCGGCTTGCGTTATTCGGCAGCGTTTTTCAACGCGTTTTTTGTGTTCACACCCAAGCGATTTTCGCTGACGGTGAGCCGAGTGAACATGCAAATTCATTCCCTGACATTAGATGGCGCTTAATGTTAAACAGAAATAGTCCTATTTTTGTAGTCGCTGTGGCGTTTGTCATATAGATCTTTATGTTCAGACACCAACGAGACCAGCAGCTCTACATTCATCTTGCCTCGCATCTTCCTTGTCTTATTTCTTCCCGGCAGTGTAGACGCTACTTGGCGTATATCTTCTTCGCCGTTACGTATGTGTGCTCAGCAAGACCGTTTTGTGTTTGAGCGCCCCCAAGTTGTGTTTTACTGTAACATCAGAAGCCCCAGACTCGTGAGCAAAAGCGCCAATCTCATTGGTCGGATAGTTTTTGACGCGGCGCGTCAAACCCAAAACACGAACCCGAGGCGTTTTTAAAAAAAATGACGCTTTTACGCGTGGCGTTTTTCGCGTCGGTGTGCACACTCACATTGGCGCCCTTTGTTTAGTCACGAGGCGTTAAACGTCGGCGAATATCGCGCGCAAAATTCGTCCCGGTGTGAACAGGCCTTAAGGAAAAACTAACAAAAAAAAATTGTGAGCTTCTCACAATTCTGACTTTATATCTCACAAATCTGAGATAAAAAGTCATAATTGTGCTATGTAAACTCGCAATTGAGAGATGAAAAGTCACAATTACCCTTTTTATTCTTATTTTTTTTAGGCGGAAACAATCTTCCATAGTGTTTATACATAATAGAGTTACAATAAAGTTAACAGTAATAGCTACTAAAAACCATTACCTTTTGAGATAAGAGTGCGCATTGTCATAGCCATGGTACTTGGCCAGGTACACGAGCACACCGGTGGCACAGCGCCCCTCTCTGGCCCGGCAGAAACTGCAGTTACAGATGCCCCTGCACGGGGGGCAATGCCACTCCTGGAAGAGAAGCACCACACCTCAGCAATATACTCTCATCGCTCAGAATCAATCAGAACACAAGCCAGTGCTAATGATGTGAGGATATGCAGAAAGACTAACCGGGTTGAGGAGGGCGTCATGGACCTCTTCTCCATAGCGGTTCCTGAGACAAGGCCCGCAGAACTGCCCGCGGACACCCACACACTCGGGGTTGCGGCAGTTGGTCTTGGTGTCAGTGGTTTTCTGGCGACACTGATGGCAGGTTGAACCCTGATGAACAAAAGCACAGTCACACACTGTTCTAGCACGCTTCAAACAAGCGGGGAAACGGACACGGAAAGCGTGAGATTCTGAAGGAGACTCACTGTGGCACGGTTGTAAGTCTTCTCTCGGACGTTGACACAGATGTTGTCCAGTTCAGCCTGAGTGATTTCGTCCACAGCCCTCACGACATGAGGAATCGTCAGAGTGCTGTTATAACTGCGCCGCCGTGGTTCTTTCTACTCAAACACACACACACACACATATTCAATACAGAGGCACCTTACTTGAATGTAACAAGACATGCAACTGATTTGCCCATGGCAATAATTGGCCATTTTGAGACTGAATGTACAGTACCGTTCAAAAGATGATTTTGGGGTCAGTAAGACTTTTCTTTAAACATTTAAAGGGGTAGTTCACCTAAACTGAACATTTTAGCTGAAACCGTGGTCACTGTTGATTTATTTAATGCAAGTCAACGGCTACCGTCACTTCGGAAGTGGAAAAAGAAAGAAATTCAGAACAAAATTAATATCCGTGGCGATACATTGAGGTCTTATGAAGCGAACCGATCGGTCTGTGTAAGACACTGAACATTATTTCCTGCAACGGTCCAGTCTGGAGCATTCGTCGCATTATGACGTATGCGCAAGAGCTCAAACGTTGAGAATCTGTGAAAGTCAATCTTCTTGATTGAGATCACGGTAGCGAACACAATCTTCATTTTTTACAGAGGTTGCAGCAGCCAGGGAAAGGACCAGTACTATTTTGATGAACAAATCAAGACACCGGTCCTCCCTCTGATGTAAACAAACACAGCGTCGGCTCGCGTGCGAGTTTGCCCTGTGCATACGTCATCATGTGACAGTAAGCTGGTGCTCCAGACTCCCGTGAACACACTCGGGACCGTACGCAGAGGCTCTGGAATACAGGTATAAATGCTAGAAATAATGTTCAGTTTCTTGCACGGACTGATCGGTTCGCTTCACAAGACCTCAGGCATCATGGGTATTCATTTAGCCTGTACTTGTTCTTTTGACTCTGAAAGTGACGGTAGCCGTTGACTTGAATCAGGAAGGACCACGGTTTCAGCTAAAAATCTTTATATTTGGGATGGCCTGAGGGCGAGTAAATAAACAACTACCGTATTTTCCGCACTATAAGGCGCACTTAAAAGCCTTTAATTTTCTCAAAAAACGACAGTGCGCCTTATAATCCGGAGCGCCTTATATATGGATGGTGAACACACGTTCACCAAGACGGGGAGACAGCGCCGGCCGACTTACGCCACTATCTGCCAATGGATCGTGGATGCCTGGGCTGATATATCAGTCTCAACTGTGATCCGAGCTTTCACGAAGGCAGGAATAATCTCTTTATTCAGCCGGCTCACATACCCGTATTTACTTCCTGTTTTCGGCCGAAGTCCACAGTAGTCGATTGTCGAGTTCGCGTGCGATCAAACCTCCTCCGTGTGTTGAGCTGATATTCTCAGAGCACCACACAGCACCGTCATCGGCTGACAGTCTGAGTCTCCGCTGTTTCTTAGTTACCAATGATCGCGCGCGCGCACTCGACAATCGCCTACTGTGGACTTCGGCCGAAAACAGGAAGTAAATACGGGTATGTGAGCTGGCTGAATAAACATCATTTTTATTCATATCTTTCACATTTACTGCAGTCAGATTCACCGTGTTCACTCACATGGCTGTGCACTTGTAATGACACATTAAGGTTGTTAAGAGGCTAAAAGCAGGTTTAAAACTTGTCCCGTTTAAGTCAACAGGGTGCAGATTTTAAAAAGAGGATAACACGGTGTAGGCAACACCGGTTTTTGTCGTTGTTATCTGTACTGACAGCACTCCAAATTTACAAAAAAATGAGCTCAATGTTAAAATTGACCGGAGTTTTCCTTTAACGTTTGAACAACGTTACCATGGGAGTGAAAGGAGTTGTCAGAACGCTTAATAAAGTTTGACTTTATCTGACTGTTTTGTTGACATTCCCTTTAGCACATCTAGTGGATGCATAACGCAAACCCAGTCAAACGTTTGACTGCAGTATCTCATGCGCCTTATAATCCGGTGCGCCCTATATATGAAACATGTTCTGAAATAGGTAATTCATTGAAGGTGCGCCTTATAATCCGGTGCGCCGCATAGTGCGGAAAATACGGTAATGCTCTTTTTTGGGTGAACTAACCCTTTAATATTTATTCAACAAGTACACATTAAATTGATCAAAAGTGACAGTAAAAAAACCAAAACAAATGCTTTTTCTCACAAAGTGTGTGCGCGCGCGCTTCAAACAGGAAAAAAAAAAGTTTTGGCATTTAGTTAACGCTAAGAAACTCACCTCTTCCTCATCATCGTCGTCGTCGTAAGCTCTGTTTTTGCGAACCAGGCTGTATTTGTCGTCGGGATCGTCCTGTGGAGCGGGGGAGGGGGGTCCGCCAGCCAGCGAGCGGGAGCGTGTGAGAGGACGGGACGACCGCTCCGGGTTTCTCCGCCGAGAGGCGCTGGGGTCAAAAGAACGACGGGGAACTCGACGAGGCTGTGCACGGAGAAAATAAATAAAGGTAAAACAAAATACATCTAGAGTATTTATTTTTATTATATAATCATTAGTATTATTAGCATCAATACGTTTATTTTCTTTAACGCCATTCCAGTTTCTATCGCTATGTTCATGGCGAGAGTCAGCGATAGTTATTCAAAAATTATTTTTTTCTAAAAACCTTAAGACCAAGTCTGGATTTATTTGGATGAAAACCTTTTCAAAAGCATCAGAATAAAACAATATTCTCAAAGGGGTAGAAGTATTACAGTCCAGCTAAATATGTTTAATGGATTCCAACAAGAGGAACACTTTGGTGAACTTTCTCCTGACGGTAAAAAATAATGTGTGTCTTGAGTGTCCCATCCGGCATCGTGTGTAAATGACTTAATCCCAGCGATCATTTGAATGGAATTTATGTTTTCCCCAAACATCAAGATTTATTTCATGTAGTTTGTTAAGCACTGATCTCATTCCAGTTGCCATTTATATTTGGTGTATGCATTTAGTGTTGGTCTCAGATCTGTGAAAGGTATTGAGCATTTAACTGGTTCTGTAGGATAATGCTTCTTTGGCCAATTAGCTATTAACAGTAATACTTGTAGCATTATTAATACAAATGTTACTGTTTTCATCTTCACTATTAGTATTAGAAGTAACACGTATTATCAATTTTATTAGCACCTTAAAATCTTACCGTATTGCCCTGTGAGAAAGCAGCCTTCCCAGGAAACAGTCCAGGAACCTTATCCAGCTCTGCCATTAGTTTAGCAAGCTACAAGGGGGAGGGGAAGAATTAAATAAATAAAATTCACAATTGTGTTAAAACTGGATTCACACTCTAATCAGAATTGCATTTAAACTTCAAGCACATTAATAGGCTATCTAGGGCTGGGTGGTATGGCTACATGCGGTGCAACCATTTCATGAATGGAAAGTTATGGAAAATATGGAAAAGAAGTTGACTTGCTCACCATAGCTTTATTTTCTTTGATGTTCAGCGCTCTCTTCATCATGAAGTTGTCGCTCTCAGGGTCAGACTCGGGGTCTTTGGCTTCAGGTTTGGGTTTGGACTCGGGGGTCACTGGCTTTGATGGACTGGCCCGTTTGTTCGGGAACTTCATGGCTACTCGGAGTGTGAATGATTTGCGAGTTTTCCTGGGAGGCGAACAGGTTTCAGAGTCTGAGTCCATTTTCTGAAAGGAAATACATCAGAAATTATTAATTAAACATATGCCTCCTGTCAAAAGCCATTACGAAGCAGCCACATAAGAGTTTTCTGTCATTACAAACCATTTCGGTCATGCCATCGTTCAGGTCATTCTCAAAACCACTGCACGCATCCTCTTCCTCGGTCACAGGTAGAACGTTAAACACTTTCTCAATCTGACTAGAGCTTCTCGTCAGTCTCATTGGTCTCTTCTAGAAGAAAGAACGAACAAACACACTTATCATGGGTCCAACATAATCAGCTGGTCGCTGAAAGTCAATTTTCGTTAAAGAATGTTTAAGTTAGTGTCATACCGAGTTCCCAAAACCATCAGATCCAAAACTGTCACAGCTGTCGTCCGAGGAGGAGGTTTCCATCGGGACCACAGCAGTGCTCCTGTAACTGCGCAGGTTCATTCTGGTGGAGGGCGGAGGAGACGCCTGCAGCCTCTGGACAGGGTTCATAATCACAACATTAATGAAGAATAAGAGCAAATAACAGGTCAGACTGGTTTTTAGTAGAGATCAAAGTATCAGATGTGCTGCTTACGTCCATTTGCTATTATAATACTGCAAGTATGGCTTTAAAATGTGTAAATAAGAAATAGAAATAGTGTGGAGTAAAAGTGAAGCCAGCTCTGTTCAAACGTCATCGGTGTCTGGAGGGCGTGAACATTGCGACTAACTTTTTTTTTTTTTTTTTATGCTTTATTGTCAACAACAGGTAGCATGTACAGTGTCATATCACATATAACAAACAAATAATTCACATGCCTCAAGAAGAAAATAATAATAAAAAAAAAAAAAAAAAGATGAGGTACATAAGCATCAGTTTACAAATAGATATACATTATACATTTAACAATTCCACAGGGTATTCCAATGCAATTTAAATACAGATAATATACTTTACAGATCAGCACCATTCATTATATTTTATATTTTTATATTATGTGAAAATGTTAAAGGAGGCGCATATATTAATCACTTTAATTGCTTTACTATTTTTAGATTTTGACTTCATGTCAACATATATTTTAATCTCTTTCCCAAGCACCATAAAAAGAGGTTTGCCTTTTGTAAACTTGCATTTGTGAATGTGAAATTTACATAGAAATAAAATAAAATTTATAATAAAACCAACATCCTTTAAAGAGCGATCCTTGATATAATAGCCCAAAATCACATGTTTGTACGATAATTTAAATGTTTTTAAAATATTATCAGCAATGAAAATCTCCACATTATTCCAAAAATACTGGGTATATTGGCAAGACCAAAACAAATGAGAGATTGTTTCAGAGGAGCATTCACAGAAAGAACATTTTAAATCAATATTAATTTTTAAATTTTTGTAGGAATACCTTTGTAGGATACACTCTATGAATTAATGTATATGAGATTTCCTTAACCTTATTTGTAAGGAGGAATTTTTGAGGTAATGACCAAACTTGAGTCCAATTTACATTACTAAAGAAACTGTTCCAGTAGAAAATAACATAAGGCGTAGAAATAAAAGAAATTCTAGGCCACCCACATGAGAAAAGATAAACCGAGGAATTATATTCCAAATAGATGAAGAGTTTTGAAGGTATTGTCTTATCCAATTTATTTTAAAATTACTGTTTAGAGAACTAAAATCAATAAAATTCAACCCGCCTTTGTCATATGAATTCAGTATTACTGATTTTTTTATATAATGAATTGTGTTTTTCCACAGGAATTTTGTCAATATACCGTCAATTAGTTTACATGTGTGTTTGTCAACAGAGATCGATTGAGCGGCATATGACTAACTTGTTTTAACTCTAACTGCATTTCTTTTTATGCTAAATTTTTTTTTTTTTTTTTTTTGCAAGGACGATCAAAAAGGTTAAGGTAAACCGTTGCAGAAGCTTTCAACTTAAGTAGTTAATGAAACAAAGTATTTTTATTTATTTTTTAAAATAATTTTACTACTAAGATGTTTTCCTGAACTTAGGGAGACCCCTGCCCCCAAGTTAAACACAAGTTTAAAACAGCAAACAACACTTAGCCTACAAAAACAACCATGCTCTCGAATATACGTCCCAAACAAACAAAGATATAACATGAACAATCGCTCTAACTGAGAACGTTACTTTAACACTTCTATAGCGCGGAAAACTACACAAGCCACAATCCTTCCTCCTTTCATTCACAACACATACTTTCAGGTCAATAGAAAAGAAAATCTGCTTTATTTAACTGTACCTTGGAGCGCATTGTTGCAGTTCGGTGTGTAAGTTTATAGTGTGCAGGAGTCTTCCGTGAGCGCGTGTCTCTGTCCTGTCGCGCGGTGTTTAGTCTGGAGGTTTGGCGGGTAAATGTTGAAGAGGCGCGAGTCTCTGCCGCGCGACTCCAGAGTCCTGGAAGGTGTGTAAAACTATTAATAAACTAACCCAATCGAAAAGCTTGAAGATTCAAGAACTGTACTATCCATTTAATTATGAGTTCAGTATTAACTTGATGATACAATTGAATTAGAAGTCTGGGGTTATTAAAATGAAGGTGAATAGAATTATGTCTATTTGGAATTCCACGCGCTTACAGGATCTTTTTAGCTGTGGCGCCAAACCTCAGAGCTCATTTGCATAAGGACACATAAATCGCGCGAAATGCAGACTAAATAAAACAAACAAACAAAGTGCTGGTTCAAATGTTATATTTTATTAATATCTTAACTTTTGAAATTCCACCAATATAATAATAAATAAATCTGTAATATCATTTAAATGAAATAATCCTCCATAATAAAATATCACAATTTAATATATAACCACATTTAATATATAACCAGACATTATCAAACATAGAAAATGTCCTCAGTTATTATGATCATCATTGAAGTATTCAGCATAGTTCCAATACAAAATAAAATCACAAGAGAGGCAAATTCAAGTTGAAGCCTTAAGGGAATATCAACTTTTAAAAAAAGCTAAGAAAATGGGCCTTTTTCAGGAACAGCATAATAATTCATGACATTTAAGATCAGTATATCCATTTCATGGTGAACTTTTGCCCTCAATCAATGTCAATTTCAAAAGATTATTTTATTTACAATACACTATCCCACGCTTTCACAGACTAAATGCATGTTTGAGCTGTTTCAATTAAAGGCAACTTGCACTGACGTATCTTAAAATATGTCAGTGGCATTGTTGTGTCTCAAGATGCACACAAGTAATGTTTTTTTCTAAGGCATGCTTATAAAAGCTACTTAAATGCCCTATTTGAACTAAGGCATAATCCTGGTTTAATCTAAGCCCTGTATGTGCACAACTAGATTTAAGTGCTTTCTTTGGTTAAAACCAGGTCCCCGTTCAGCCCATACTGTGAATCAAACCTGATTCATTATCCCTTCTACCAGAATAAACACTCAACTTCGTCCACGCCCCCCTCCCCTGCCTCCTCTCCGTGGCCGGTTTCTGGCCTGCCTTCCTTCCTGATGTTTATGTTCCTGTTTATTAGACTTCTTTCTTTCTACTTTAATCCAATCATCATCACCGGCCCCGGCCTCTTCAGACGCCCCTTTCTGCTTCACCACTTCAGTGACGATTGACATCCCCGGTATTGGCCGCTGGTGGTTGGATGGAGTTGCGTAAGAGCTGTTTCGTGGCCGCCCGGCCTGTTGGAAACCTCTGGATCCTCTCTGTGTCATCTGATTAAACCTCCTGGCTTCTCCGTCTCCTCGTCCTCCTCCAGTGATCTTAAGCGTGTGGTCGTAGTAGGTTTTTCTGTTGTAGTTGTGTTTAGCTCCGGCGCTAGGGGGGCGCTCTCGCTCGGAGGCGCTCTCAGACGTCGTGCTGGACGGGCTGCTGCCCTTCGACCCCAGGTGGATGTTGGAGAGTTTGACAGAAAGAGTGGGAGAGGAACTCCGCGAGTCGGTCCATGGCGTGCGAGGGCTGCGATTGGGCGACTTCCTCAACGCAGCGGCGTACGATGATTGGTTGGTGATGACCGACAGGAACTGAGGTAGGGTCATCTTGACTGTGGACTCCTGGGTAGCTTGTTCTCTCATCTGCTTCATTCTCAGGCTGTAAATCCATCTGGGATCAACACCTGATTGAGAAACACAAAAACAATCATTCCAATTTTTTATAATTATACAAAGCAGTTACACAATAAGGGCTTAAAGGATTAGTGTGGGGTTTGCATTTTTTGCTACCAAATAAAATCGTAAAAATCCAAATAAAACTAAAATAGTTAAATAAATAAAACTTGGGCAGGTTAAAATGCAGGATTTTTCCAAAATGAAGCATTTACTTGGATGACACGAGTTAGTTACTTGAAGAAAATTTTACTGTAAAAATTACCGATTTTACTGTAAATTCGGTACCACGGTTGAATGGCTGAACGTGACAAGTCAACAATTTGTGTAAACGGTTATTATTTACTTGAATTAATCTTGGAATTACACTGAAGTAGTTCAAAAGACAATCCAATATAATACATTTTAATATGACAGCAAACATGCTCTCTATGAATCAGTGAATAAGCATTACCTGAGTTGGACCTGCTTCTGTTGTAACCTTCCCTGAGGCTCGCGGCCGTCTCGATGAGCAGCTCTACTGGTTTGATCACATCTCTCCCGCTGTCGGGACTCCACCGCAGTGTGTGCACATGTCTCGTGCACTTCGGAGATCTCACGTTACCCTGTCAGGAAACAAGGCACGAGTCGAAAACAGTCTCATGCCCCCTTATAACCACATCTGTAAATTCTGCATTCAAATAACTACAAGACATACTGAATATTTATAAGCTATTTAGCAAGTTGCACATAAGGAGTTTCTTGAAACAAGTTTTAATATTTATGTAGCTAAACTTTGACAGACATCGCATTATGGAAGCTTGTTTCCGCCACAGAATGAAAAATAAAAAAGGTAATTGCGACTTTTTATCTCACAATTCTGTCTTTTTTTTCTCACAACTGCAAGTTTACATCTCGCAATTCTGACTTTATTTCTCAGAATTGCGAGATATAAAGTCAGAATTGCGTGACATAAAATCGCAATTGCGTGATATAAAGTCAGAATTGCGAGATATAAAGTCAGAATTGATTGATATAAAGTCGCAATTGCGTGTTATAAAGTCAGAATTGCGTGAAATAAAGTCGCAATTGCGTGTTATAAAGTCAGAATTGCGTGAAATAAAGTCGCAATTGCGTGTTATAAAGTCAGAATTGCGAGATATAAAGTCAGAATTGATTGATATAAAGTCGCAATTGCGTGTTATAAAGTCAGAATTGCGTGAAATAAAGTCGCAATTGCGTGTTATAAAGTCAGAATTGCGTGAAATAAAGTCGCAATTGCGTGTTATAAAGTCAGAATTGCGAGATATAAAGTCAGAATTGATTGATACAAAGTCGCAATTGCGTGTTATAAAGTCAGAATTGCGAGATATAAAGTCAGAAATGCATGATATAAAGTCGAAATTGCGTGTTGTGAAGTCAGAATTGTGAGAAATAAACTATTCTGAGAGGAAAAAAGTTAGTCTTTTATTTTTCCTTAGAATTGGCCTGATAACACGCAATTGCGAGTTTATATCTCACAATTCTGAGAAAAGATGTCAGAATTAGCAATTATGTGTTATAAAGTCAGAATTGCGAGATGTAAACTCGCAATTGTGAGAAAAAAAGTCAGAATTGTGAGATAAAAAGTCAAAATTCTGTCTTTTTTTCTCTCGCAATTTCGACTTTATTTCTCAGAATTGCGACTTTATATCTCGCAATTGTGACTTTAATTTTTCACAATTCTGACTTCATATCTCGCAATTGTGAGATAAAAAGTCGCATTTATTATTATTTTTTTTTAAATTCAGTTGCGGAAACAAGCTTCCATACATCAGTTATCAACGTGAATGTTACAGATAATTTATATGTTAAAGTCCACATCAAATTAAAATCGGCCATTTACTTTCTTAGTATGCATTGCTACCTTTGTGGAAAAAGAAGAGCATTTAATTATATTGCATGTGCACTTGTTAAAAGTATATTTTTTAACAACTGTATTTACTTATTGTACAAAAAATCCATGACTATATACAGTGGTGTGAATAAGTTATTACCCCCATGCTAAAGTTGCCTAAAAAGAGGAATAAAAAATCATCTTTTGGAAATTGATCTTAATGCCTTAACTAGAAAAATGAGGAAAAATCCAACCTTTGGATTGTGAAGAATTAAACACATTCAACAGTCATTTTCAAGAAAATTCCAGAGAGGGGACCAAATACGCCAGAAATCATTAGACCTCCGGCGTAAGTCACAAGTTAGCTTTTCTAAGGGAAGGAAAATAGCAATTTGATTCATCCACATATTAACAGAAGGGACATGAGGAGTGGACCACAACAGGAGTATACACTTCCTCGCTAAGTAGGTACAAAGATATAGAACACATTCTAGATCATGGTTGAGGTGCATTCAGCTTTATAGTTCAGGAGATAGATACTCGGAAATAGAGCAAAAGATTTACCAATAATCCTCTGAACAATTTTATGTATTTCTTTCCAGTACACCTTAATCATGTCACAGCTCCAAAACGTATGCATCACTGTGCCAATATTAGACTTACACTTGAAACACAATTGGGAGACATTAGGGAAAATCTTATGGAGACGAGCCGGTGTTAAATAAGTCCTGCAAATGAACTTAAAGTTTTGCTCATGATTCAATATAGAGGCTCCTCTAAAAAAGACACCGGAGCAGACCGATAGCCACGCCTCATCACTGAAATTTGTTTCAAAGTCTTTTTCCCATATCAGTTTCAGAGGGTCAAAGGAGGAAGGCCCGACATTAGATAATATAGTATAAAAAGCAGAAATCTTCCTTTTGAGGGAAATAGAAGAATGCAATTGTTTTTCTATATCAGAAAGATCAAAGCGTATTCTATTGTCCTTTAAAAGTGATTCCAGAAAATGTCGTAGTTGCAAGAATTTGTAGAAATCATTATTGTGTAAGTTAAATTGCTGTTTTAACAACTGAAATGATTTTAGATTGCCCTTGTCAAATAACTGGTCCAGCTCCAAAATTCCCCTTAGTCTCCATGATCGAAGACCAATGTTCTGAATAGCAGGGGGTAGGTCAGGGTTGAATGAAATAGGAGATTTTAAAGATAAAATATGTGGAATATTCAGATACTTCAAAACGTCTTTCCAAGCCAGGAGAGTGTTTGATACCGTATAAATATTGGACACTGATTCTATTTTATGTACACTGTAAATAAATGGTTAAGTGCATAACAAGTTTGGGAAACATCTCGAAGACTCAATTCCTACCCAACCTGAATCCAATCTATTAAGAAACCAATTTATCATATTTTTTATCTGAGCAGACCAAAAATATAACTGGAAGTTAGGGAGTGAGACCCCTCCCAGTTCCCTGGGTTTCAGTAAAGTAGAAAATTTGAGTCTAGGCTTTTTTTTATTCCAGATGAATTTTGATATGATAGAATTTAACTTTTTAAAGAAAGCAACAGTCAAATAGCAGGGCAAACTTTGAAATAGAAAGTTCAGTCTGGGAAGAATGTTCATCCTTATTACATTAATCTTGCCCAGAAATGAAATGGGGAGATTTGACCAGTCGGACAAGTCCTGGCTAATTTGGGTAATTAATGGGGTGTAATTAGCTTTGAATAAATCACACAAATCAGGTTTAACATTTATTCCCAGATATTGAAAAGATTTTTATTTTTAAAGGCCAGTTATTTCATGGATCCAGGATAATATGCATCCTGATAAAGTTCCCTTGGCCTTTGGAATTAAAATATCCCACATCATCACATTCCCTTCACCATACCTAGAGATGGGCATGGTGTTATTTCAGTTAGCCTAATAGCTGGTTTGATTTGCATTGAAAGATGATCTTATGGAAAGTACCCCATGCCAATCTCTAGGTATGGTGAAGGGAATGTGATGATGTGGGTCTATTTTAATTCCAAAGGCCAAGGGAACTTTATCAGGATGCATATTATCCTGGATCCATGAAATAACTAGCCTTTAAAAATAAAAATCTGCCTGACTCTATGGGAATTTAACATAGGGGGGGCCTGACTTATGCACCCTGTATTTTAAGGAAGAACATTTATTTATTTATGATACATTATTCATACACAAAGAAAATTGGTGTCCTTAAAGGTTGGATTTTTCCTCATTTTTCTAATTAAGGCATTAAGATCAATTTCCAAAAGATGATTTTTTATTCCTCTTTTTAGGCAACTTTAGCATGGGGGTAATAACTTATTCACACCACTGTAATGTCAAAGTCTTGCATTTAAGCACATTTTAAATTCAATAGTTTCAATGATAATGTCATGCTTTAAAGAAGTGCACTTATTGTTGACTAACATACTAAAGCACATGTAAAGTACTTGATTATAATTTTAACTGTAGTGTTATTCAATATTACAATTAATGTTAATATATTTTAAATGCACTAAATTACAACTTTATCATTACAAATGTGTAATTAAAGACATGTATTTATGATTTATTATGAATTACTATAACACATTTTTGTATTTAATTGCAGTAATAAGTAATAATTATTTCTGTAATAAGTACTCTTTTAGGTAAGCTAAAGTAAACAGTACTTATTTTTTACAATGCTATTATTGTGCACATTATTCCAAAGTAAAATAATGTTGGTCTTTGGAATCTTTCACTAAAACTTGCTAGAATATGCAGTCTGAAAAACACCACATTACAAAACATATATATATATATATATATATATATACACATACAGAGTAATTATGGACTTACAATGTACTTATACTCAGCAGGTTCTTCTTAGGTAAGTACACTAAGGTAAACTACATTTAGGTTTAGGTGTTTAGGTCAGTTTTAGGGTTGAGTTCAGGGTTAGTGCCTTGTAAAGGACTGTAAAATAAAGTTCTAGTCTCTTGGCTGGTACTTACCTCATAGTTTACTATGCAGTCTACAGATTGAGTGCCAGATATTCCGACTATCCATTTATCCATGACAAACGGAGGCTGCAGAGTAATTTAGATTTTAAAGCACATCACAACAGAGGCTGAAAGGCATCATCACATGCATCAGATCTTCACTCTAATCATGACACATTTAAGACTTGTGTTGGTGGAGTAAACATAGTTGTGAGGTAGAATTATCTCAGGTTTATGACCTCAGAAAGACCTCATCTCCTGGATTCCTCAAAACGCAGTGGGAATCTAATGGAGACATCATTTACAGTGATATATGGCATTTCGCACCTTGGTCATCTTTAATACATCTACATCTGGTCTGTTAGCATTAAAGGTTACGTCTTTGATGTATGTTATCGCCACCTCATCCCCATCAAGCTCCATGTACATTTTCCATTTGCAGTCCTGCAGAGGTCAGAAAGACAGAGCGACACACAGATGAGAAAACTGTGTGTAGGATGAGGTTAAAGTGAAGGTAAATGTGGGCATAGATATAATGCATGTTTTTAACAAACAGAAATGTAGACCCGTATGATTTTAGCTGATTGAGGGTGATATAACAACAGCACAACCTAGAGGACAACAATGGGAATTAAGAACACACACTACCTGCACACTTCAATCTCACTACATTTTCAAAATTTCTCTCAGCTCAAAATGATAAATCTAATCGCTTAGAAAAGTCATATTTTAATTTCGTCTCATTCTGAAGGAATTTTCAGTGGTTCTTTCCAATAAAAAACATGTGGGTGGTTGCCAGGGCGTTGCTAAGGTAAGTGTTTTTGGTGCAATACTTTGTGGATTCTAATGTGTTTTGGCTACTCTCGGGTCATCTATGATATTCTGCGGCTGGTTGCATAAACTGCTAAGACGAATCTTAAAAGTTAGCCATCTATTTTTGTTCTTCAGAATGGTCCTAACTTTTTATAGTCAGTCACATAAAAGGGTAGTTCGGTCTAATAAGAAAAGTAAGATGACTAATTCCTAGTGTCAAATTAGTTCTTAAGACACAGTTTTAACATAGTGGCAACGTTTATGTAACTGGCCTCTGGTCTCTAGATATGACCTGGCTCCCTTCATTGTAAGTCTATATGATTTCTCTTGCTAAATTAAAGGGATAGTTCACCCGAAAATGAAAATTCTGTCATTAATTTCTCACCCTCATGTTGTTCCAAACCTGTAAGACTTTAATTCATTTTGGGAACACAAATGAAGATAGTTTTAAAGAAATCTGAGAGATTTCCGTCCCTCCATTGACAGCTACGCAACTACCACTTTGACGCTTCAAAAAGTTCATAAAGAGATCGTAAAACTAATCCATATGAATTAAACGGTTTAGTCAAAAATGTTTGAAGAGGCTCGATCGCTTTATATGATGAATTTAGGCTTTTATTCACATATAAACATTGATCAGCGAAAATAAACAGAAGCTCAACCGAACTTGCTTGACGTTTGAGAAAAACCTCTTGCAGAAGCTTAAACGTGCTGCGTAACACGAGAATGAACCTCATTGGTTCTTGCTGAAGCTCAAACGTGCTGCGTAACACGAGAATGAACCTCATTGGTTCTTGCTGAAGCTCAAACGTGCTGCGTAACACGAGAATGAACCTCATTGGTTCTTGCTGAAGCTCAAACGTGCTGCGTAACACGAGAATGAACCTCATTGGTTCTTGCTGAAGCTCAAACGTGCTGCGTAACACGAGAATGAACCTCATTGGTTCTTGCTGAAGCTCAAACGTGATGCGTTACACAAGAATGAACCTCATTGGTTCTTGCTGAAGCTCAAACGTGATGCGTAACACGAGAATGAACCTCATTGGTTCTTGCTGAAGCTCAAACGTGATGCGTAACACAAGAATGAACCTCATTGGTTCTTGCTGAAGCTCAAACGTGATGCGTAACACGAGAATGAACCTCATTGGTTCTTGCAGAAGCTCAAACATGATGCGTAACACGAGAATGAACCTCATTGGTTCTTGCAGAAGCTCAAACATGATGCGTAACACGAGAATGAACCTCATTGAAGATGAACGAAAGACTTGCAGGTTAATGACATGAGGGAGGGCAGGTTAATGACATGAGGGAGGGTAGATGATGACAGAACATTTTTGGGTGAACTATCCCTTTAAGAGATACTGTATTTGCAACTCTAGATGTACAAAGGTATTTTCATCCGTCATAACTCCTGGAGAGAAATAGCACAGACACTGAACACAGGATCCTTAGAAAGTCGAACATTTAGTTTTATCAAATTTAAGGTCATAAAGTCTCAAATATCTTAATTGTTATTAGAAAAGTCTTAATTATAATTTCAAGAGGTCTTAAATTTGGGGATGGAAAATTTGATAGCATTTCACAATATGGCTTTATGTCATAATTCAACTTTTAAAGGCCATGATTTAATCAAATAAATGTAGGCACTGCATGTTTCAACGTGTCATATTTTTACACAGATTACGCACAGTGTTGTAGTGTTAACCGCTGGATCAATAAGAAGCTAATGTGCTAATTTTTAGAATAATAAGGTATCTAGAATAGTATATTTTAAATGAATATATTTTAATGAATACAATCATTTGTTATTTTGACTCGTCCCCTATCTTAAAAAATGGTTTAAAGGCTGAAATGTGTTTTATAATGTATGGTATAGGATGTTGCCATTAACAATGACATTTTCAATACGGTTTTAATTGTATTTGTGCAGATATTGTGTTTAAAATAATTTAATTTGATTTTAAAAAGCCTGCAGATATCCTATAAACAAGGATGAAACTTTCTAGTGTGCACGTGTCCACCGTCTTGACTTTTGACGTTTCAATAGGACAGCTGATGAATGCCTATAAAATACGGATAAAGCCAAGCCTGAGAATGAATCACTGAATGTCAACGGGAGAGTATTCATTCACACACACACACACACACATACACGCGTGTTTCTGAGACAGAATGATGTGACGACTGAAGCTACGAGAGATCAGAGGGCAGAGAAGCGAACGTGTTCGTTTCTCAGGCATAACAAGAGCGGGACACCTTAACATCCATTCTCTTTCACATTAGCAATGGAGATGAGACCCCTCACCGAGAGCCCACGCGAGACACGGCTGAGCCGAGGTAATGATCCGTCAGATCCGCAGAGGTCAAAGGGAACGGCTTAAAACATGTGGCCGTTCACACTGCACACACTTACACGCCGTTTGATAGAGCGTCCTCATGCAAGTTTTGTCTTTTGTATACATTTGTCCCTCAAATATTCTGTTGTTCTGTCATAGTAGTTTTTTATTACAAAAATAAATGTGCTTAAACAGAATGCAAATTGGTAAATGTTGTGGAGTCATTCATTCCTACAAATATAAACGAATATATTTGTGGTAGTGGATCTTAATTTCAGCCGTATATATTATTTTTAATCTCAAAAAAGGCAAAACAAATAAGAATATTCAAAACCACAGTGCATAGGAAAACATAAGTGCTTTGCAAAAACAAAAGACAGCAATCTGATTGGTTAAAACTGTTCTATTTACACTTGAACACATAAATGTCTCTATTAATATAAATTTGTGCTATATGAAAATTGACGTCAACAAAAGCAACAAATATGCGCTGCATTTTATTTATGACAAGCTAAATTTCAAGACCAAAGACAGCAATGAGAGAGAGAGCAGCATCAGCACCAGCAAAATCCAAACATTTAGTCCTGGTCCGCTTAGCGTTCACATTGGCATTTTAACACCGAACCTACCAAACCTAAAGGCATAGGGATATATTCACAAACTGATTGGTCTGCTTTTATGACGTATATATTTCGTTAAATGCGCACGCTGTATGTGCGTAGCCTACATATGATGCTATTTTGACCAGCTGAGAACTCGTGAAGAGCTTATAAACTGATTAAAGGAGTCAAAACAGCGTCAGGAATCCCTCCGTCACACACACAACTGAAGATCTGCTGTGAGGAGACGCGGTTCTCCCGCCTGTACTGAACTCTGATGGGCAACATCGCGACTATGATGAGAAAAACAGGTGTGCTTGAGCATTCGGTCCTTTTTAGGGTCGCATCTTGTGACATCATGTCCTGTTTTTAGTTCATTTAACGTTACATGTCTTTGGTCCGTGTTGCGTTCATATTTCATGCAAACCGCACCAGAGTTCATTTGGAAGCGGAGTGAGATCCATCTTTTCCTTTAATCAGTTTATAAGCTCTTGGTCCGCTTGTTTGGTGTCACCAGCTCCGGGGAGGGCGTCGAGGAGAGTTGAAGTCAGGTCAACTTTATGGTAATGAGCTATGACGCGGTTCGGCTATAACCAATGGGGATGTAGAAGTCCTCCGCTATAACCAATGGGCATGTAGAAGTTCTCTGCTATAACCAATCGGGATGTACATTGTAGAAGTCCACCGCTATAACCAATGGGGATGTAGAAGTCCTCCGCTATAACCAATGGGGATGTAGAAGTTCTCTGCTATAACCAATCGGGATGTACATTGTAGAAGTCCACCGCTATAACCAATGGGGATGTAGAAGTCCTCCGCTATAACCAATGGGGATGTAGAAGTCCTCCGCTATTACCAATGGGGATGTAGAAGTCCTCTGCTATAACCAATGGGGATGTAGAAGTCCTCCGCTATAACCAATGGGGATGTAGAAGTCCTCCGCTATAACCAATCGGGAGGTAGAAGTCCTCTGCTATAAACAAGGGGGAGGTAGAAGTCCTCCGCTATAACCAATGGGGATGTAGAAGTCCTCTGCTATAGCCAATGGGGATGTAGAAGTCCTCCGCTATAACCAATGGGGATGTAGAAGTCCTCCGCTATAACCAATGGGGATGTAGAAGTCCTCCGCTATAACCAATGGGGATGTAGAAGTCCTCCGCTATAAACAATGGGGATGTAGAAGTCCTCCGCTATAACCAATGGGGATGTAGAAGTCCTCCGCTATAACCAATGGGGATGTAGAAGTCCTCCGCTATGACCAATGGGGATGTAGAAGTCCTCCGCTATAACCAATGGGGATGTAGAAGTCCTCTGCTATAACCAACGGGGATGTAGAAGTCCTCCGCTATAACCAATGGGGATCTAGAAGTCCTCCACTATAACCAATGGGGATGTAGAAGTCCTCCGCTATAACCAATGGGGATGTAGAAGTCCTCCGCTATAACCAATCGGGATCTAGAAGTCCTCCGCTATAACCAATGGGGATGTAGAAGTCCTCCGCTATAACCAATCGGGATCTAGAAGTCCTCCGCTATAACCAATGGGGATGTTGAAGTCATCCGCTATAACCAATCGGGATCTAGAAGTCCTCCGCTATAACCAATGGGGATGTAGAAGTCCTCCGCTATAACCAATGGGGATGTAGAAGTCCTCCGCTATAACCAATCGGGACGTAGAAGTCCTCCGCTATAGCCAA